TTCCTGCTCCCAGTAATTTTAACAGAAATTATGAGTTGAGGGAATAAGCAATACCACAGAAAGTACTTCTTAATTCTAGCTTTTAGAGTTTTTTAATGCTATCTTGAGTTAAGACTGATTTTCAGTAATAATAATAGAGGAAAAAGTTCAGATAGAAAGCATGAAAAGTATATAGCATGCCAGAAACACCCAATACACTGTCCAAGGAAGACATGTCCCATTACTTATCTCGCTATTTCTCTACTATTTGAGCAACCAAGACACAGGCTAGGGAACAGTTCATGGACATAGTTCTTAGCACTGCATGTAAGGAGAAAAACAAAAATATCAATCAACTGAAGTTATCCACCCCTTAAATACATTATTTTGGCCATGGTAGGCATTCAAGCTACCTAAACAAAAGTTTTGCAGTAATTCAAAATGAACATGGGATTTTTATTTTTTTTTTTTTTTCTTCCAAACAGAGGGCTAATACTAAATGGCCATTGTTTAATACCATAGCTGACCTATCACTTGGTTCCAGGCCTGGCTTTCAAAGAGAAGTGAAAAGTGAAGGTAAAAAAAGGGAAAGAAAAAGATGTAAGCAATAGTGACCTATAAGAAGTGAATGATAGTTCATACACTGCTGGTAAAGACACCAAGTTTTCAGAGTGGAATAGAAACATTAATCAAGTTGTTATAATAGAATTGCAGACAGCAATATGCAGTCAGGAATGTTGTTTGTAAGCTGTAGCCCGAATTTGTCTTCTGAGCTAGAGTTGGTAAACAGCCTGCTATATTTGCAAAGTAACAATTTAGCTTGTACTCAAGCGTTATTATACCATTAAGTGCATTTAGTTTTAAAAGCCCTCTGATCTTATTTAAGAGACAGGTAGCTTCATTACATGTTCCCTTTTTAGGCAGTTATTTAATAGATACAATGAATTCATAATCCAGAGAAAAATGAGAGACTTTTACAAAGCCAATAGGAAATTCAGTAAGAGAAGTACTTTAACACTTTCTCTGGTAGAGACGAGAAATATAGGAAAAAAGGTCTTTGTTGGATAAATAACATATATAGTGTAATAGTACCTGTCCAGGAACGACTGCTCTGGAGAAAAGCTTATTTAATTGAACCAGTTCGTTAGGTGTTGTATCAAATTTCAAGGCAATACTGTTTAAAGTATCTCTTGATTCCACCTGTATCAATTGAGGAAAAAAAGAAAAAGAAAAACACAAACCTGTAAGCAGTTAGTTCAAATAGTGGCTTTTAAATTTTATCACATGTAGATTTACTGATATTTTGGTGACCTATAAGTCTTTGTATCCTATGACTGCCACCCCCTGCCCCAACCCACACCTACCCCCTAAACATTAGTTTATTGCAACCCAATATAAGGACGTCTGCCTCCCCACTATGTTTCCAGGTGGAAACAAGTGTCAGTCACACACACTGGGCTGTAGGCTCAGCTATTGCATCAGAACTTCTGGTCTATAAATTCACTGCTGGGTACCACTGGACCAATACATGATTGACTGGTTTCAGAGAACCCTTCATTCTCCCCCTTCAACTCCTCTTCTCCATTCTTCACTTACTGAAAAGCTGAAGCAATCTCTATAAATGAAAACACACGCTTTTCCTATTGAAATAAGCTTCTGTTAACCTTACTTTCAAGCAAAATCCATCACTGAGATAAAAAGCAAAAACACTGAAGTACAACAGGTCAACCAGTATGACAGCAGATGGAACAGAAGCATTTTGAGTAGGTGATTCCTGAGTAAGGAAAGGATTTTTTCAAGCTCTTAATTTCACCCCACCTCCCAAAATGTACTCATTATGAACCAACAGAAGAAAGCAAATGGAAAAGGTTTTATTCACAGAGAGTATTTCAGAACAGAGAATTCATAGCAAGCATTTAATACTGGTGAAGATGATATGACAAGGGAGCATACAACCAAAAGTTTACTGCATAACGGCACAGGGTTTCATAAATGCTGTACCAGGAAAACTAAACCTTATCAGTTAAGAGAAGATTAAGCAATATAAGCAAAGATACATTTGTGTTGCTAAACATGGAGCATAGCTAGAAAAAAAAATCCACTGACTCCTGTCTTAAATGTCTTCTCATTTGTCCCTCTGCAGAACATATACACCTTCCGCTCGTATTAGTCTAATTATTCTCAGGTTTAATTTTGCTGTATTTTCAGGCTATTCACTTAACTTTTCTTGACAATCACAGAAAAAACACACTTTCTCTTTTAAATACCCTTTTCTTTACTTAATTTTCAAGGGAGAAGTAGGGAAAGGGGGGGAAGTGAAAGACAAAACCATGTTTTTCTTCATAGTGTATGTTCTACACAAAACCGTTTTGAGAAAGCCAGTGCATATCATTATCTGACTGCCTATCCACTAGGTATCTTCTGCTCTTCATTCACTGCCTTAACAAAAGTGTGGGAGCACCATGCCTTGTATGCATTGTCAACTGTTGCTAGACTTAGATACCCTCTGCTTCTGCTTGAATGATTGAACTGTGGCAGAAACAAAAAAAAAAAAATATGAGGGTAGGGTGAGAGGAGGAAAGGAAAAGTCTCAGAGAATACATGTTTTACTAACTTTTGGCACTGTTTCCTCCGAGAGTGGACCTTGACCTTACACAGTCACACAGAAAAAGGCAGCATTTTCATCCAAAAGACTGAACTGCTCTATTTCCATAACCATATGCAGTGGAGGTAAATAATAAAACATACATTGGGCTAGTCTGCTTCCAGTTGTACTCTATTGTGGACTGTTCCAGTTGAATTAGTATATTCCATATAACTAAGAAGCATTATATGTTTTGCTGTCAGTAGAATGTAACCAGGCACATTCATTCTTCACATAAGCAGCAAACGCTTTGCCAGAGTGGAAGAATATGTTTCTACAGGTCATTGCATTAGCTAATATTGGGTGATTAAATATTAAATATTTCAATACACTTTATTTGCATTGCAAGAATAGGTGGCAAACAGAGTTCCTATTGGTTGCAAAGCAAAAGTAATACAAAAAAAGTTAAAAAACTGTTCCTCAAAACACATTCCCACTTAAATGTTCCAAAACTTAACGCTGAACAGAACACTAGCCCCAAAAGAATTTAGGAAATGAAATGCTTTCTCTTTATTAGCTTTTTTCAAAGTCATGTCATGTTAGGGAACACATGTTGACAGTACAGGAATAAAAAAGTATAACTGACAGATATAAAGAAGCAAATTATATCCATTAAATAGAGAAGTGGGTTGTCCTGCAAGCAAAAGTGCTACAAATGTAGTGTACTTTGAAGGCTGTTTAGTTCAACAGATAAAAAACAGAGGGCACTTTGAGATACTAACATAATTAAAGGTTCACAACTAAGAGTTAAAGAACTCCTTTCCATAAAGAATTCGTTATCATTCTGTAAAGGCGCATCAACCTAGATTCACTAAAGAAAAAAAAGTAGGTATTTCCAAAGAAATGGCAATTAGCTTTAAGATAAATTTCTAATTCTATTATGACACTTCTTCACATAGGAAGCCATTAAGCCAAACAAAGCAGCGAACATCTCTGTCTACTGGTATTTCAGGTATGCAAGACTGTATTGTAGTACCTCTTCGTAATTCAGTACTGTATGATCACAGAGGTATGTGAAAAATAACATTCTTGTATGCCACTTTTAATTGGTACTAAAGCAGAAATCAAAACAGGATCCTGACCTGACCAGATACGTACTACTTGTTCCACAGACAGTAACAAAACTGACAACCAAATCAGGAACAGTAGTGTTTCCATCAGCAGCTCTACATAATACAGAAGGTTTGCTAAAAGAAACTGTCAAGTGACATTCAAAAGCTTCGCCTAATTCAAAAGTCTGCTTTCACATAAATGTTGGGGGACAACAGTTAGCTGCTCGATAGATATTCCTTAGGTATCACTCAATTATTGAAATATTTGAGATTTTAGACTAACATATGATACAAAATAAAATCATTAAAAGCTTTCCATTAATAAACCCACAAAACTTAAGCCCTTTAAGACCGCATTTACTCTTTTCAGCCTTCAGAAATAAAACAATCTGGCAAGATCTCTTGGTAACTAAAGGATTTATCTCACAAACCATGAACACAAGAATGGCAAATATAAGCTTCCTTTTCTTATTTGGCTACGAAGTTTGCACAGGCAAATCTCCACACTACGTGGTCTTTCAGAGATCAGCACCAGTACCTACTTAAAATGAAAACTGTTCACGTAATAAAGACTTCCTGAAGTATCTCCCTATATTCAAAGGCCTATTTTCCAATTCTCAGGTTTTCTACAGTTTCAAAAAGTAGAACGTGAACTGCCAAAAGCTGAAAGAATAAAACTTTTATGGAAAAGCATACTTTAAGAACTAACAAAGAAAAAAAACATGCCACCGCATACCACAGCCACTCCTCAGCATTTCCAACCATTTTTTCTCCCCATCAATTCAATACTAGAAGAGAGGGCAGACAGTCATTCCTTCTCTCCCAGGAAACAAACTTTACATATATTATACACATAGCTATTTAAATGCTATTTTGAATATTAAGATTTTTATATAAGTATTTGGATATTAAAGCACTACACTGAATCTTCATGGGTTAACTTCCCTTTTGAAAAGAGAGGGATGCTGAACAGTGATTATGTTATTTCATGATTTTAACAGAATGGCAAGATTTGTTCAAATACTAGTAAACCTCTGAAAAACAATCACTAGACATGTGAAAACACTATTTCATCCTCTGAAACAATGTGAAGTGGATTTGAGCCGGCCACATGGTGCTCTGAAGTCGTTAAATACATATCATGCATTGGCTTTGCTTCCCTTCAGTATACAGACTTGAGTATAAAGATTGAAAGATAGTGATCAATGAAAATGTAAAAAGAAAACAAGAATCACTTAGTCAGGACTGTGTTAAACTTAATGTATGCAAACTCTGCTTTGTACAATAACTTGAGTTGAAAGAGAGCTTCTTAAAATATAAGTAGCTTTCCTATACTCCACAGCAAGAGCTTCTAACCATTGTCTCATGTAGAGATAAGACACATAAGGCCTTATTACCTAGTTACTTCTACATTATGTAGTCACTTACATATGTATACAAATAAGTTTAAAATGCTAAGTTAGCTAAAATTAGTTTTCACAGATATGCCTAGATACAGAAAGTCATACCTTCCACCTTCCTTTTCAATAAAATCCCAAATCAAACACTCTCTTCAAATCATTATGTCCCCATTTAAGCAGAGGTACATATCATTACCCCTTTTCCACTTGTGGAGCACTACCTACATAGCCATGTTTGCCAGGTGTGCTTTTGTGCACCAGTAGACAAAGAGCTTCAGAGTCACCATTGACTATGGTTCAAACTGCCTTCAATTCTGTCAGTTTAGCAGCTGACAAAGTTATTTAAAAACCTTATTTAAAACCAAATTCTCTACTTTCATTCGAATGAACTTTACTGTCATTGCACCTCAACAACTGGAGTTCATTCATTCTTCCATTAAAATTATATATTGAATACATATGAATCGGAGTGCACAAAGAACAAAACATTGGTTTAAGAGTTTTTAAAGGAACTAATAAAACTAAGAGATGGGAAGACTAGAAGGAGGGGTGAGGACAAAGAGAAGAAGAGGATACAACGAGAACTTTGGTGCTGTAATCAAGCCTTTAGAAGTATCAGATTATGATTATATTAACTAATTGTTAACAGGTCTAGTTTCTGTAAATAATATAAAAACAACTCCAAAAATAATTTTAAAATTGGGCAAAAGATACAACAGAAAAAGCAACATGCCATCATTATGATCCACATTTTCTAAATTCCCCAAAATTGGTAAAAATACTATGACAGTAGCATGCTTAAAGAAAAGTGTCAGTCAGAGAAGAACACAATCTCTGGCTTTGAAATGCAAGCACTAATTAAAAAAAGCAAAAACTCCTAAGGGTGCAATAGTCTAAACAGCATGCAGAGGCTTTCAATGGCAATAAAACTACCTGTACCACAAGACAGAACCTTTAGCACCCTCTATTCAAGCTACCCTAGGATTGAAAGTGAAATCCAGTTATTCTAAAAAGATAGTAGCTGCTACTCACCATTTCTCTGCTCTCAAAATAAACATGTTCAGCAAGTCATCACAACAAGAAATTCCAAGTATTCATGTGGGTTCAAAGTCTAGCAAACTTTCATCTGTTTGATGGTCACTGCAAAAACACTTGCCACCCACACCCCTTGAGCTAAGAAAGGATCAAAAATTCCTCCTTGTTTTACCTTAAGAAGCTGACTTCAGAAGCCCCTGTAGTTTTGTTCTCAGTATACATATCTAACTGGTTTCTAACTAAAGCGAAAAAAGAATACAGACCCAGATTCCAGATGTTGGTTTTACCACTAAATAACTGGGAAAAGATCACATGCAGGAAAACCAGTTCAACACTGAGGACTCTGGCTTAAAACTCAGTCTTAAGACTCTGGTCCACTGTAGACTTGTGTCACCTTCATTAATTAATATCAGGCTCTCCTCATGATCTGGACAGCCCACCCTGTGGGTTAGGTGCTTATCTGCTATTTCAGGAGAAGAGCACAGGCTTCGATCGCCAGAGAGTTAAAGGGGAGGGAGTGGGGCTGGGGAAGGGAAGTCTTACATGGGAGCCTCCAACACCGATAATCCAGACCACCTGCCTCCATTGCTCGCTTGTAATTTTTTTAAACAAAAAGTGCTTTTCCTGTATAGTGTATTGCACTTGAGAAAAAACTAAATGTAAATAGCAAATTATTTCCTTCTTCTCCTCCAAAGGAAGAAGTATTAGTAGGCTTCTGTTCAAGTCATGCAACTGCTAGCATGCTATTATCATTGCCAATCAGTGGCCCACACTGTCTGCTTATGCTCCTTTATTCATTTGTAGTTGGCTCTTCTAACACCTGTAGGCAGACACTGGTTGTGTTTCTAAAACATGCAACACAGGAGACTTCTAATGCAATGTCAATATAATGAAGTTGTGTCAAATAAGCAATGTAAAAATGCCATTTTCACAACATAAAAAGGACTAAAGGAAGTTCTAGCTAGTAACAATAATTCACCTAAACTATCTGCTCTGTTAGTCCTTAGAGCCTGTTCACATGCATCAACTGTGTGCAGAAGGGGAAAACAATTGGCTTGGAGCACCAATTGTGAATTCTGAAATAACAGACAATACCAATCTGCATCTAATCTGTTGACTGACATTCACAAAAGGAGAAACTGTACTAACTTTAAAAAAAAATATAAATCTCTTCACTGTCTAAGCAATAACAGTGAAAATAAACCAGAGTTTTCTGTATCCTTTAGAGGTAGTCACTGAAAATTAACTTAGTGACAACCTACTAGCCAGGGTGAGTTTAGGACTTACTTCCTTCACTTAGGACCACATCTATTGATATCTCCCTGCTGGTGCTACATACAGAACAGAAGTTCCAAGTTTTTACGCTTTGGGAATTTTAGATTAAAATCTTTAACATTAACTGCTTTTTGGGTTTAGCTTTAAAGAGAAATTATATTTTATTGTTTAGTTGTTCCCAAAGTAATGGTTTTCTTTTTCTGAAAATTCTGGTGGGAAGTGTATTTCACCTTAAAAACACCATAGTCTGCATCAGTGAGATTCTGTCTCACTCCAAAACCTCAGGAATACAAATAAAGCCTGCCCTCCTAAAACCATGTAGCCACTGGAAAAATTAACACATTAAGTTATTATTTAAAAAACCAAAGCAAAACACTCAGCTGACTTTTCAACAATACTAGGAGAGAGTTTGGTTTTGGCCTTTATCCTTCTACTACTTCTCAAAGCAGCAACACATGCAGACATATAAACACGTGTGTGTATGTATATGCGTGTGTCTGTTGTTGCTTTAAGTGGTAGTAGGATGAAAGCAGAAACCAGACATAAGTTCATCTCTCCACATGGTATAAAGTCATAAATAATAACAGTAGTAAATTACCACAATAGTTACCAGACCTCTCTTACACGTATATTGAACATAACCTTGGTTCCCAAAGACTAGATCTGTGTATTTTATTAAAACACAGATCACAGAATCGTTGGGGTTGGAAGGGACCTCTGGAGACCACCTAGTGCATGACACATAACTGAAAACTTCATGTTACTTAAGCACTTCGAGAGAGGTACAGCAAGACCATACAGAAAACTGCATTTGTGAAGCTGAAATACATCATGTTCTATATACACAACAGGCTCCTTTAGAAGATGGATCAAGCTTAAAGACAGAAAAAAGAATCTTTGATTCTTGTGAGCTGTCTTTTGACTCACAAGGAAGTGATACATACTTATGTACTTATTAAGAAAGCTATTTTTGCAAATAAAACCGCACCTACTGCAACACAAAAACCAGCAGAAGTACATGATAACTTGACACAAACATGCTAATTTAAAAAAGGAAAGCTTGGTGCTTTAGCTTTGCCTGGAATCTTACATACCAAGGTAAATGCATGCACATGGTAGCAAGAGGCAAGTTAAGGGATTTGGTGACTGAAAAGGAGTTACACCTGAGCATTTTTTCCAGTTATCTCAGACAAAATGGGGTTAAAGTAATAGAAACAACAGTCACATTTACTTTACCATTCTTCAGCTGCTAGAACCTAAGTAGAAGAGATTTATTTTCTGAATTTCAACTTCAAGGAAGTCTTTAGTATAGGCTAGAATAATATTCAAATTCCTAATATAAGCCACACTAATGAAGTGCTGCTCCCTCCAATACACACATCCTCCCTCTCTCTCTCCAAATGACTATCACAGCCTTCTCAGTAGTCAAGCCATATCACAGGTTGGCTTGACGTAACATTAAGAGTTAAGTCTCCCCCATATCTTTTATTCTTAGAATAAGAGAACACCAAGAGGTCAAATAAAGACTTTTTATAAAGAAGTTCTCATTTTTATTTTATCACATCTGGTTTCAAAAGCATTCAAAGATAACTGTGACAGACTTTCCCTATTTTAATGTCAACCCCATAAGCATTATTTATAGGTTTAATTATATTTCCAGTATATAACACAAGACAGATACTTCCCACTTCAGTTTCCCTTAGTAACCACAAATGTGAAAAGCTTACTGCAGCACAGTTTGAGGGTCATTTCAAGAACAGAACAGGCAGAGAAAGGCTCCATTTTCAGATACTGCTGCAGAAACAGATCTGTGCAGTAAAAGGCATACAGCTATGAAAATTACTAGGAGAATGCCAGAAGGTCAGTATCAAGCTATAGCTCCCCCCCAGCTTCATGCTGTTATTTCTCCTGCTGTCAACAGTTTATTAATAATGCTAAAAGCAGAGAACTTGCACATGATTTTATAATTAATGTTATTTACTATTTCTAACTAGTTACCTAAGTGAACTAGTCAATAGATTGATTAGCTTGGTTTTTTTTGAAGGAAAAAAAAAAAGTAACTTAAAGAAAAAAAGCCTAATTAAAAAAAGCATTACTTAAATACTGCTAGCTAATTCCAGATTTAATTAATGTCAAAATAAGCTATCAGATACACAGAATTCTAAGATTAAAGATAATGTGCATTACTTTTTGCTTATATATTGTAATGAAACTTTAAGTCTGCACTTGCTATGCAATGACATTCTAACAATAAAGCAGTAACTTACAGAATATTCAATAGTCCCTTTAGGCTTTTGAAAAGACATTCGCCGCCCATCTTTCTTGTCTGGGGTCTTCTTCTGGCCAGTGTCTGAAAAAAATTGAGGCAATGTGCGTGTTAAATTCATTTTCCTCTCTGAGTTCTGTCACAGGCTGCTGACTACAGCCCCGTGGGCAGACATCTAATTCACCAGTTACACAGCTTGCTCCTGGCGACAACCGGCTGCTAAAACAGGGACTTCATTCCTCTGCAATGCTTTAATGATTTGACCAATATAAACCACTGATAACTGGGAATCAACCAACTGCGTAAGTACCTACTGCTATCCAGGAAGCTATTAATGAAGACTAAACAGGAGATTGACCCCACCAGGCAAGCAACGTTTCTGGAACTAGTGTCTTTAATTGGTTTTATATCATATCTAGTCTGCTTTCATCTAGAGGGGAGCTGATCTAGAGTTCCTGTATGTTCGATTTCATCAGTTGGGATTTTTTGTCACTGTTTGATAAGTACGCAGTATTTAAAGCTTTTATAAAACAAAGAGCATTTGTATTTAACTTGACAATTATCCCGTCTGTAGCAAACACATACAGTCTGGTCATAAACAATAAAGACTGTAAATAAATAACATAAGAACTGTTCCTTTTATTGAGGCATTGTATTTTGATGACCTCCATTTCACAGGTCGAATCAACAATTTGTACTTGAAGTATACTCTAGTTTTTTATACTAATTGGCTTGACATTTATGATAAACACAATGAAACAGTGTATTCACATGATTCAACAGAAAGCATTTAATTCTACATCTCTAGAAAAGTGGGGGTTTTTTTAGACATATTCATTTATATGCACACATGCATTTTTTGAGATGAATCTTTTAAGAAGTTGGGTCTCTGTCACAAGGCCTCCACCTTCAACAGTTAAGTATCTGCTATTAAGGAGCTCAAAATACTCAAGTGAATGAGATATGCTAAGTTTTCACGCTACAATGGGATTAGTTATACTCTCATTTTGATACATTCCAATTCCTGCTACCATAAATGAATATATTTAGTCAAATATTTCAAACCAAATTGAAGAAACAAATCTTCCCGTGTAAGTGTCTACAGAGTCTGCAGACAGGTGTCACTCAAGAGGTCAAGTTAAATTATCTTCTTCCTGTCCAGTAACTGAACAGTATAATAAAGTCTTGCACAAATAACCACTTCTATGCCAGATGTGAAAAAGGAAAGTTACTCGCTCTTCAGGGTAGAAGGACCTACTGTGCTTTAGGCTTCAGTCGTGGGGTAGGGGTGGGGATGGAAGGTCCCTGTTGGAAGCACCTTGGAGGAAAGTAGATGCCAGGAGAACTCCTACCACAAATTCCCCAGGAGCTTAATAACCTGTAGTTTTTCACAGTTTTACTTTAAGTGTCACCCCCTCCCATATCTAAGACGGTAATTCCTGTCCTTCCCATCAGTGCCCACTTTCATTCCTTCCCCCTGTGATAGCATTATTTCCCCCTCACTATACAGATACAGGACTCAAGTGTTTCATAACCTGCTGTGACCAAAGTCTCTGAGCCAAGAAGAGACGGACGCAGGCAGCACTGAGCTACGCGGGTGCCCACCATCCGGCTGGCCAAGCGGTGGGCACAGCTATCAAACCCCACACCTCTGCCCACAGCCCCATTGCTGGAGCTGTCTGTTCATACAGAACTCATCCATTTCACCCAATGTCTTGGAAACAAAACTAGGACGTATTTCAGTTGTGAAAGTAGGCCAGAGTAGCAGAAACATGAATTCAACCTCCCTGATGGCATACTGCAAAGCCTCCAACATTCACTGAATTAGCAGGCTATTTATTTTTCAGAGGAAAGTAAATCTTTCGGCCATTCTTGTGCCCCTAGTATTCTAGGACGCATGTAGAAGTGAAAACAACTGCCAGTACAGGATGCAGTGGTCTGAAAAGACCTCAGTACCAATGAGAATCAGTCTTATCCTTTCATTTTACTTATTTTACGTGATGGTAACTCTGCTGCACACAAGCTCATCTTGTTAGGTTACACACAATCATTACCTCACCTGCCAGCAGTAAAGCAGCAAGACTACTAAAGGCTGATGTTCTCAGACCACAGGTGTAAGAAAAACCTGACACCACCGATCATGCTGCATACAACCTCAAGAGTCAACAGTATCTTGTTTAACAAGGGAATCTGTGGTGATAAGTTATCAGATCTCCAGCCATGCCGTTTGAGAGAAACAAGATCAGACCGTTTGTAACATCACAGTTGATGCTTTAATTCTGAACTACCATTTCACAGGACTGGGCCTCCACAACAGGTAGAAACACTGAAGTGAAAAAGTACATGTCAGATCCACAATTGCAAGAAAATATTTCAATTCTCTAGGATTCAAAAGACTAGAACGATACAGAAGGCAGTGTTCAAAACAACAGCAGTCCAATATTTAGTCTGAATGCATGCATACAGAAACTTAAGCTTAAATGACTGTAGCATAAGAATGGTTACATATGATCACCAACATAACAAAGACAGAAGGATTTGTTGTTCCAACATATATATAGAAGACAGGAAAAGTGATTTCAGGAACATTATGTTTTAGAAACATACAGCTTTCAATGAGGCAGCTTTGACCTTAAAATATGCAATAGTCAGTGGCATTATTCAACTGAAACTTGAAGACAACTGAAGTTAAATTCCAACATTTATAGGCAAGTTCTACTAACTGCCTCTGTATGGCCCTGTGCCACTGAATTTTGGTTGACTGAAAATATTCCTGTGTCAATTTGAACTAGCAGTGCCACAACAAGAATGACATTTCTCATTTCTTAGTATGCTATCTGAGCTGAACTGTAGACTTTCAGTTTCCTGTTTGCTGATGCTTCTAGCACATCCTTTGGACTTCTGGCAATAAAAGCTAGTAAACAGAACTCAAGATTTGTGCCGTGAGTAACAATGCAATGATACATGCTAAGAACTGCTTAGGAGTGTCTTCAAGCTCTGGATAGAGCAAAATGTATTAAGTTTTCCTTTACCCTACTGTTTTTCTGCATGATAAGCTTAAGTCTCAAATAACTTGCAATGTTTCTCAGCTGCTGATCCTCTATTCATTTCAATGTTAACAGAAATTACAAAGATCACTTTTTTCCCTAAAGGAGTAAATTGGTAAACCAAATAAGTATCCTTTGAGGTAAAGCAAGTAAGCTGGACAAGTCAATAATTGATACAAATTGTTTGCAATTAATAACCAAGTTTCTTATGGTCAAGATGATGAGAAAAAGATGATTCACAACCTACCCCACCCTTTGCCCTGAAACTGAAAGTTACGCATTAGATTTACATGTGTTTGAGAAAAATGCAGAGGCGGTAGCCTTGTTAAATGCTTGTCTAGGACACAATTTTTCACACGATCTTAAGAAAAAAAAACATGCAGCACATATGGGGCAAAGATTTTTAAAAACTGAATCACAAGAAGGAAAGAAAAGTGTTCCTTCTTTGAAATATTCTTGAGTACGTTGTTATTTAGCAGCACATGAAACAACATTCTAATAGGTAAAACAGAGGAAGCATAGATATTACATCTTCATTAGATTAGTTCTGCTCAATAACAATTAGATCTTTATAACCTATTCATAAAGAAACAAAAAAGATTGAAGTAGGAAATCTTTATATTCCAGAGGCTTGGTGACTTGGGGTTCCCAACAGCAGGGGCTACAGCTCAGTAGAGCAACTGTCTCATTGACCCTTCTCCCCCTCCTGCAGTTAGATATGCTTATGCTAATTACTGGAATATTATTGTCAGTTACCGTCTGACCTCTCAGAAACCAGAAACAGAGGCCCTAATAGTAGCCTACAAGATGCTAGTAGCCTGCAGTTTTCTAGCCAAAATGGTAGTTTTTCAGACTAAGGCAGTGTCATAAACAATGCCTCTCAGTTTCCTCTTGCTAAGCAACTGCTACTTACTGTGTGATTCAGTCTTTCCTAGTAAGTCATGGTCTCAAAACTCTCGACCCTTATCACTGCTGCACACATGATTCTTTTGTTCATATTTTTCTCAAGCAAAACCCCAAACTAAATGCATCCAAGACCTGGCTAATGCTGCATCAACACTTCAAACACATCAAATTAGCTTTTTCCTGCAACACAGATTCAGCACTGATTCAAGTTCATTTTGTGATCCCCCCCTAACACGACCCACTTTTCTGCTATCGAGTCAGCTGCATAGCACATAAGCATAACTAATTAAATGCATGATTTCAGGATGCAAACCAATTCAATAGAAACAAATTTAAGGTAGGCCACTTCTCCAAATGGCTAGAAGACATAAAGCCAGCTCCATGCATGACACTCCTGGTATGCGCATCACACAGGCTTTCTTCTAAAATAAGATTTCACATTCAGTGTAAACAGAAATGTTTCACCAAATTTTCAGATTATGCCACAGTGTGAGTCACCAACAGTAAGCATCCTTCCCTATTCCATCTAAAGTTTGTATGTATACAGTTTAATACATTAAAGAGTACTTAACTGCAATCTCCACCTATTGTACGTCTCTGCAGACCAAATGCATATACCAATGAAAACTTGAAAAAAAATCATGACTGCTCTACTGAAACAGCAAAGGAAGTCAACTTTTCAAATAATAATTATTGTCTTCCTCTTTCAGATATTTAAGCCCATTTTGTTGTACATCTTCAAGTCTACACAATACCACATAAGCAGTTTGACCATCAAGCGACAATATCAAGGTATCCTTAGACATTATCTTTAAGAATTTACACTTTGCTTTATCACACTTAAGCCAATGGTACCTAGCTTTTCTAAGAGTTCAAAATCAGTCAGTTTATCCTAATGATGGAGGAGACTTGTGCGCTACAAATGCTCTGCTAAGATGCAAACAGATCTACTGTACATGTGAAGTTATACCCAATGCTTCAGTAAACATCTTGCTGTACAAGTTTATTGCATTAGGTTTGCAGATGACATTGAACTGAGGGGATCAGCCAACATACTTGAGGGCAGGGTTGGCATTCAGAGGGACCTGGACAAGCTGGAGGAACAGGCTGACAGGAACCTTATGAAATTCAACAGGACAACAGTCCTCCGCATGGGAAGGAAGAGCCC